CACTTGAACTCATGGCGTCCTCGTCACGTACAAGCCCGCCACTGCGTTGACTTTGATCTGTTCCCCCGAGATTCCTCCGTTGTCGAAGTATTGCTCCATGCCGAAGAGGAAAGACTCCACTGCGTTGGAGCTCCGAGCCCCATTGTAGGTGTTAGGTTCGGGTGCCTTGATCATTTGCTCCCTCGGTGTGCGTTCGGGCTCTCCTATGGGCGCTTGTTGTACCATTTCACGAAGAGACCTGCACTCACGAGTAAGTTCATTAACCAAATTACGTAAACCCGTTACCTCTCGGTCATGCTTCTCTTGCATGATCCGGAATTGTTCAGCAGTCAAGCCTCGGTCGACTTGTTGGGACTGCTTGATGTCGTCAAGGACGTGCTTGGTGGATTCCCCGACGGCGGAGATCTCCTGCTCAAGCTCGTCCATGCGTGTGTCCTGCTCAGCCTCGGACTCCTCTAGCAAACGTAGGCGTGACTCTACGGTTGGCAGATTTGCCTCGGTTGAGTGAGATCGGGACCTAGTGACAATGGGGTCACGTAAGACACCACGGTCACGTGCATTCTTCTTCTTCTTCTTCTTCTTCTTCTTCTTCTTCTTCTTCTTCTTCTTCTTCTTCTTCTTCTTCTTCTTCTTCTTCTTAAGTCACTTGTCTTTTGCCTTTTTCACTTCTTCTTCTTCTTTTTTCCACATTTCTTCTTGAAGCAGCTGCTTTCCTTTTCTTATGCATCTGCATCATTGGCACTTCGATGCGAGATTTCACATCAGCCTCGAGTATATCTCTCCATTTCACAGATTTCACATCTTCAACCAAATGCGCCATCCAACTATCAACCACCTCATCAACATTATTAATTGTCTCCAAATGCACAACCAGATGGCTCTCAGCCTCCTCTGGAATTAGAATGCTCGCAATATCCTGAAATTAAATGCTCAATCCGATCCTTGTCAAACCTTGTCTGATTCCATACTTCTTTTTCGGAATGAAACATCGTCAGCACATCCTTGGACAGGATTGTTTCACATTTCCTTCCACCCTGACTTCACTATACCATCCGCCTGAACGAAGCTTGGGAATACATTCGAACGGCAACATCTGTTATAACAAATACAAAACATTAATAAAGTATTTCTTGACAACTCTTTATTTTGTTTAGTAAACCCTAAACCCTTACCGTGAGGGGAATTATAAACCCTGGTAAGTTCCACTGATTAGCCGGCTTCCGATGTTTATTCAGATAGTTCACCACAAACTCATGAACATTGTTGAACGTGAACGTCCCCCAAGGGAATTTTTCGCATGCATCCACATTGTTGACAATCTTCAACAGAAATGGATTCACGTATTCCGAATGTTGGTGCCCAATGACATAACTGAGCAGCAACAAATAAGCCATCTTCAATCGGACATCTCTGTCATCTATAGCCAATTCTCCAAACTTCTTCATTACTTCTGCTTTCATAACCTTTTCAAAACTCTCTTGACCAAAGAATTTACGGTAGAAGTCGAACCCTCCAATTTCCTCCCAATTCTCAGGCAACGGAGAACAATTTAAACCACAGAGAATAGCGTGTTCCCACAGCGAATACCTAATTGGGACTCCGTTCATCACGAACCATAACTCGTCATCTTTCTTGGTCTTGACTGATTGGTTGATGAGTGCAACCATTAAACTCATCTTCAGTGACTGTTTCTTCTTCATATGAAATATGTGCCTGAATTGCGATTGTTCGGTGAAATACTTTTTTTCCTCCTCCGTCATGTGGTGTTCGAGAAATTCCACAGCTTCTATGTGGAAACACTTTGACGATAACTTCACCGAAATCTTGTTCATGTCGTCAAATTCATAGTAGAATTCGGCATTGGGTATATCCAAATTCTGCAACAAAACAACGAGATTCATCAAACATACATCACAACACATGACATTCTCAGAAACGGGTTTCAAATTCCACTACTTCACTATCATTTCTTAATTGCTACTTCGTATAAAACACTTAAAATTTAAAAGTTACATGAGCACGGTTTCACCAAATCTGTTCAACTCTTCGCATTATCCGGCATCACACTCCCCTTTAACCCAGACTTTAAAAACCAAGAATTAAATCTAATTCCAACATGAAAACCCTAAACCCAGATTTCTACTTACATGTGTTTTCGGAGAAGCATTTCCTTCCATTGTTCTTTCTGGCTCCGGCTCTGTCTCCATGTCCGTATTCTCCGCCTCAGGCTCCGTCTGCATTCTCTCGCCGGCAAACCTCGACACCACTCTGGATCCAGAACCGACTCGACCTCGACCTCGACCGCGACCTCCTTCCCTCGACGACGATGGCTTCATTTTGTTCGTCTGGCTCTCGATTTTTCTGGGTTTCGTCGCTTTCTTCCTGCTTTCGCTGACACTCCGCTGATTTCGCTTCGATTTCGACTCTCGATTCGTTTCCTTCTGTCGATTTCGCATGAGTCACTTTCCCTCCCTCGCTTTCTCTTCTCTTTGCCGTTTTCGATTTTGAAAGGGTAAAAAACCCTAACTTTCCTTTTTACGGTTTTAACTAAACGTTTTCACTAGTTTTTCATTTAATTCGAATTAAAAAAATTTCGCACGTGTTTTTACCTCACACACGGGTTTCATTAAGGGTTTGTAGGTCTTTTCCATTTTTTACAGGGGTAAACTCGATATTTGATAATTCTGTCTATTTTTTCGGTGTACCTGAGAAATTGCTGCGACCCAACTCGGCTATTTGAGTAAAATTCTCCAAGGGCCCAAGGCTCATATCAATTTGGGCCGACGTATTCCTATTTGGGCCTTTACTTAAAAAGCCCTTTTGTCAGCCCAACCAGTGACGATTAAACATTTTACGATGATTCGAACAGTTTATTTATCACCTTTGTTTTTTGGTGAAATATTTATTTATCAACTTCATTCTTATGATTTATAATACATACATAAATATAGAGAGAAATTCATATGTATAGGTACGTACATATTCAGATATATCATATATGTATGCATGTATATCGTGATAAAAAACTTTTATTGATTTTAGGGGATGTATATATTTCATAATACCACGTACTTAAAAAATATTGTCAACGGCCATTTAGTATTATATATATATAGCATCGAACCACTATGCTCATGTCGTTGCGAGTCACATGCATGCCATCTAATTCCTTTTTTATTATATTCTTATTTATTTGCATTTTTTTAATTAAGCATATATATGTTTTCACAATCCTTTAAGTTGTCCTTGAATCTCTTTTATTCGCTTAATTAATATTAAACTAAACATACATTCAGTAATTAGGTCATGACAAATTAAGTTGGTTTACTAAAAAATAATGGCTTATATACCAAAAATCTGGATACATTTAATTCATATATTTCTAAATCGTTTTATATTGCGACAAAACTATATATATAATTTATAAAAAAAAACTATATATATACACACTACATCGAATCTTTAGTCTACAGTTTACCGGATTTGGAACATTCGTTAATTCGAATGCGGATGGTAATTTATAAGTTTCAAGGTTAATATGACATGCATATATACGTATAATACGTGAATCTTCTATTTTTTTTATTTTTTTGCATAACGTTTAAATCGGAATATAATAACAATTATGATAAAACCATATATCTCGTTTTGGTTTATGTTTCTCTTACCCGTTTCGCAATTGAGAGAGAGTACACAGATAAGGGAATTAAACCGCCATGCACATGGCCACATAGCCACCCCTTCTTTACAGGTAATTCTTAATTCGATCGGTACACAAAATTTTTAAAATAAATATGTTTTCTTTTTCTTTCCTTTTTTAAAACATTATATTAAAATAAGAGAGAAAATGCATGTTGGCATCCGAAGACTGCCAAAATTTTTATTTTATTATTGCAAATATACATATAGATAAATCAAGAAAAGCTGCAAAGATTAAATTAAGGAAGTGCACATGATCCCATGAAGATTCTCGAATTAATTAAGATGCATGATGGCGCATTTTACAAGCTTTGATCTCCCTTGATCGTTTTGTTGTCGACTTTTACATATGCAGAGATGTCCTCTAGGGTTTCAGATTCCGTCAAATGCTTCTCTCCCCGTAATAAAAAAATATTATTCCTGTAAACCCTAATTTACCAATTTATATATGGAACCGAATTATCTCTTATAAAGAGAATTTATCTAAAACAATAATTCCCATAGTTCGAGATGTATCAAAACGCGCTATTATATATCTATCTTATAACTTTATATATATGGTACAAACTAAAAGAAATAAAATGTTACATATAGTAATTTCTAATACCTTGTTCTGGTTAGGAGTAGACATTTCCGTATGGTTTCTTATAACCGAATTGTACCATAACGAACCGAAAAATATGGTACTGTAACCCAAAGGGCAAAGGGAGAAAAATGAAACGTCAACAAATGGAGACCATTTTTTTTTTGGGAATGATATTTCGATGCAGTTTTTTTTTGTATTATGAAATAGAAATTGGTTTTGGATTTTTATATTTGTTCATAGAAACTAAGAGGTGAAGGATTAGGAGACGTCTATTCACCAGAGAGATGCCACTTTTTTCCAAATCTGTCTGTCCTCATCCCCTCCTTGGAATCTGTGTCTGATGCTGCCCAAACTCTTGTCACCTTTATTCAAGGTAATTTAATAAATAGTTATATTAAATCGAATATCTCAATGCTAATAAATATAATTATTTTTGACAAAAAAAAGTGGTGTTATATTATATGTTATCCTATTATGAAATATACCATGATAGAAAAATAAATAGCATTGAAAACTAATATCTATATATATATGTATGATTCTATAGATTTATTTCAATAAAAAGTCATATATATATTTTTTTATTTTTTCATATAATTTCTCTGCATTTCTGATTGGGAAGACTATGGCCACATGGTTCCAGAACCCACAAGTAAACAAATATATAGACAGATATGCACACATATATATATATAATATCTCAGGGTCCATATGATTATAATATGACGATGATGATTATAATATAAAACGGCTAACACCTTCTTCTTCTTTTTTTTACATCTCATCGCGACAGCTCGGTGGTATTTGGATATTAACCATTAAACAAAAAAATGCAAATTAACGTAATAAAATATTTCAAGTTTTGAAAGATTGCATGAGAAAAAAGATAAAAGTCCGCATGGTTCAGCTGAACTGTGACTGGTCAATCCATGGCCAATACCCAGAGTGGTCGTCGATGTTGCAGAACATGTTGCCGATGCTGGTCTCGTCTTTGACCATGCTTTGTCCTGAGGACGAGCCCTGGAAGAACTCCATGGTCGTGGTGTTGGTCACGACGGAGACTGTGGCTGTAGCGGCGGCCGGGGACGGAGGGAAGAAGTGTCTTCCGGTTACCGGCGGTGGAGGAGCATCCGGCGGGCTGTCGATCTCCGGCGGAGCCGCCGATATGTCCAGTCTTATGTTGTTGGAACTGTTGTCGCTTCTGTTACTGCAAGAGCCTTCAGTTTCTTTGTTCAAGTTGATTGATTCTGTCGATTCTCTGCTTTTGAGTGCCACTATCTGCAACAAGGAATTTGATTTCAACCCATCACGAAACATGGAGAATAGATTCAACTTTTACGAATATCAGGCTTGGGGGATTTTAAAAAAAAAACTAAATCTTTATCTACAAAGGGACGTACTTTATATTAGAAGAAAGATAAAACAGAACACAGTGCCGTATTAATTAGAAGCATGACTTTGTTAACTGTGATTGGACTTCTGTCTTCACAGACAGGACATCTAACATGTAATTCGATATAGGCAGTGACATTTGAACCAATCGATCCATGGGAACAACAACTATGATGATTGGATTTCTTGTTTCTGGATCAAAGAAAAGAAAGCCACGAGGGAAACAGAGAGAAGAAGGAAGTACAAAAAGTCACGAATCATTTAAAGTTAATCAACCCTACTTGAAAGGAACCCGTGATTTATTCAACATTTTCAATCAAAACTAACAAATGCCCAAGTAAAAATTTCCCACCTTTTTTCAACCCAAATCATCGAAACACCAGAAGAAACCGAGGATTTGGAAGAACTCGAACGCAAAGAAATCAAAAGTTGGGAACTTTTTAAGAAGTTTTTATTCACCTGGGCGTGCAGTTCTTGGTTCTGGGTTCTGAGAAAATCGTTCTCAGCATTGAGGATCTCAACCTGTCGTTTGAGCAAGTCGTAATCTCTCTCGAGCTGTTTGGTTTTCCAGCGAGCCCTTCTGTTCTGGAACCAAATGGCGACCTGTCTGGGCTGGAGATGCAATGCCTTAGCAAGCTCCAGCTTTCGTTCAGGTTCGAGTTTGTTCGCAAGCTCGAAGCTATTCTCGAGTGTTTTCACTTGCTCCACGCTCAGTCTCCTCTTCTTCTCTCCTATCTGCGACCCATCATCCGACAGCATCTCTTCTTCTCCGTTCATGTTTCCTGTCTCTACATCGCAACAGCCCCCGAAGTTGCTCGTGCTCTCTGAATATGTGTTCATCTTTGATCTTTTTCCCAGAATCGACGCAACTCCTCCTGCGAAAATCAAGAAAGGGTCACAGAACACAGCTACATGTGTAAAGAGTGTGTATATGTATGTGTGTGTGTGTATATATATGTATGTATGTATGTAGAGATATGTACCATGGAAGTCTTGAGGGATACTACAAGAAGGGAGCAGAGGGACGAGAGGAGGTTGTGGCTGGTGATCGCTTTCGTGAGGGTTTTGGAACATGAAATTTGCAGGGAAGAAAGCCATGGCGTGATTACAAGACATGTTTTCTCAAACTTTGGTCGTCTTTCTCTGGTCTTTCTTCTTCTCCACTAGATCTTATCTCCAGAGTCTTCTTCCCCTCGCGGTGGCATCACTTGAAAAACTGTGTGACTGCCTTGTGATACAGAACCAGAATCTCAGTCTTTGAAAGGAATCAACAAAAAAAAAAAAGCTGAAAATATCAGAGAAAAAAGAAGGAAGGGGAAATGGCGAAATGAATTGGCTTATACTATGCCAATTAAAGGCTCAGTGTTCAGAAAGAAATTTGGTTTTCTTTTTCTCTTCTTCTGTTATTGTATACATATATATACATATAGAGAGAGAGAGAGGAGAGAGAGAGAAGACCTCAAAATGACTTCATTAGTTTTTGCCTCTCTTTATACGATCAAATGGTTCTAATTCACATAAAAAAAATCACTTTCTTCCTAATTTCACGGAATAAAAAAAATTAATCGCTTTGAAGAAGTGGGGGATTCAACGCCAACAAACTAAACAAGAAAATAAAAATTTATATTAGTATACCTTATGAATATACTAAGTTTGAGATGAATTTGTAATCTAAATCCAAAATGAATATTCCATCAATTGTAAATAATCAAAATCCAAGATCGAAGAAAACACACGGTAAAGGGGGTTAGGCTACAGTGATATCATATCCCATATATAGAACATATAAAACTATGGTATTTATAATTTTAAATATATACAGAAAAAACGTTGAAACCCACGAAAGGAAAAGGGTTACAGCTTGCGTTGGAAGTGGGGAATTTTGGAGGTCACAACCAAATTGTATGAAATCAAAGGACTGTTTTATTTGAAAAAAAAATGGCAGTTTTATTTTCCCTTTGGAGAGACATGCATACGTGTTTTCTCACTCATCGCAGTTGTCTCCTTATATAAACAAATCTCTCTCTCTCTCTCTCTCTCAAGACTTATCATTATTCATTCTATACGAAAGAAAATGAAATAACATATCAAACCAAAAAAGAATGAAATATAACATATTTGAAATACGAGTCTATTATCAGACTTATCTCGAAGATTTTCCATATTCATTGCTACAAATAACGATAATTAGGGCTTAAATAATGGTAGTAATTAAATGTTAGTGGTTACCATATATATCTAGGAGTATTTTCACAAATTGATTTGGCGTATTATGATATTTCCTATTTCTACGCTCGTGTACTCTGTATATAACTCCTTGTAAGCTAATGCTGATAATTAACAAAGTGAAATATTTTCCAAAGTATTATAGTAAATAGCATTGTACCGCACTAAGGTCTATCGATGGAGAGTCTAAATATGATAAAAACAGATTTTGTGTATGGAATGATGGGTGAAATTAAATTGTGTGGTAATAAAAGGAAATGATAGATAACTTATCAAAAAAAAAAAAAGGAAACGATACATGGTGTTAGTTGAGCCGTCTCAAAAATATTTGGGGCCCTATACAAAAATTTAAAAAATATATATATTTATTTACTATAAAATATTAATTTAAATACTACAATTTAATTTTATTATAAAATTTATCAAAATATTAATTATTATAATCTAAAAATACAAAGAAAAAAAATAATAGTATGATAATAACATGAATTTTCGTTTTTTAAAAGTAAATAATTATATATGTAATTATGAATGATATTTCAATTTTTTTGTAATTGTACATATCTTCTTTTTAAATTTTGTATATTATAGAATAATCCATAAAAACATATTTTATTTTTAAAAATAAATCTTTTAGTAAATATGAGTTATATATTTTAATGTGTAATGATTCTATTATATATTTGATTTTAATCATTTTAAATAAATCTTTTTGTTTATTATAAAAGTTCTAAAATTAAAGAATAACAATTAAAATTTTATCCATTACTATTCAACCATAATTATAGTTTTTTAATAATTATATATCACATAATTAGTAATTAATATTATGAAAACAGATGGTCCAAACTCAAGATTGGGTGGCTCAACCGGTAAGGTTGGGAGTAAAGCTCTTTCTTAACTCAGGTTCGAATCCTCATTTGGGGAGATACATTCACATGGATTTCTCCAATACTTTGGGAGATATAATCGGACCAAAGGTCCGATGAATTTCCGCATTATAAAAAAAAAGTTCCCAAAATTTTTTGAATGATGTTTTATCGCTCCACTTGCACATGCTATTAGACGGTCCCGATGCTTAGAGAACGCTATCGTTTATATGTTTATGAATAGTGATAAGAGAATTTTTCAAGTAGATATATATGTTTTGCAAAATTTTTGTCTTCAGAAAAATGTTAGTACATATAAATAAGCAAATACATGTGATTTTTTTAGGCACTCCATCCATTTCTATTGCCGAAACTATATTATATCCATTACACGGATAAAAACGACATGGTCGGATACTTTTTCTAATTATTATAAATTTTCATTCTTTTTTTTCAAACAAAAATAGATCGTAATTCATTTATGTGTCATTAGATCGATCGCTTAGTTTTTAGATATAGTATTCCTTTTAACACGCTCTTTTTAAACGCCCGTCCATTTTCCTTTTGTTTCAATTATATGACTACAAGATTAAGCAACAAAAATATTTATGAAGTTTACCATATTTTCTAGAAAATTTCGGTAAACCATTCAATTAATCTCAAACCTATATAAGTAATATGGACTCTAACCTAACCTATATCAAACAATATTACAAATACCAGAACAGGATGAGAAACTAGCATGAATGGTGACGGGATAACCGGTAAAAGTGTGTGTGAAATTGATTAAACCGGATCAGAAAAGAACCAAACCGGTCGGACCGGGTTTGTTCGGGTGGGAAATGGTATCTATCTAGAGGAATGGGTCCAACAGAGCGAGAGGGTGCAGAGGGTTTGCTACCTAATCCACCAACACACATCGTGCTTCACGAACCTCCTCCCCCCTTTCCCCATATTTGTCTTCCTTCTAATTTTAGCCCCATTATTTTGTCCATTCATCTATATTGACCCCCTATCTATTAACCATATATACATATAACGTATTTTCTTACGTATATGTACGGGCCATGCAATCCTAGAGAATGTATGTATGATTGTGTATAACAAGGTATAATCTACCCACTAGTTGGTGATCCAATAGTTGAAAGATTCACACAGCCACTTCGATGTTTTGGGTTCGATTCCACTAGTGGAGAGGAGGAGATCCAATTAGAGATCCAATTAATTATGTGACTAAAGGTTGATTCCGCATTCAAGAGATTAAGTGGGTCGAAAGTCTAGTGAACTTCTGATTATTAAGAAAAAAACAAGATATAATCTTAAGACCTAAATGAAAGCCGGGTTTTTTGACTCACCCATATGTATATTATATCGTCCCTACTTAGAAAAATTAAGTTCGTGATTAAAATTAAAAGAGAAACAAGTCGTTTAAATGAGATGAAAGTGACAAAATATAGGTTCTCTGACAATTTTCGTTGTTGTTATGCAATGTATTGTCAAAACTTTATGTCTTTGTTTTATATAAATGTGTATATATAGGATATGTTGATATTCACAACACATGCACGCATGCATGTAACATGTACGTCGATTGAGAGAGAGTGATAATAATTAATAAAGATGGTGGGGCATTTATGTTAAGGAAAAAAACCAAAACATAACCACTGTTTAATTAAACCCCACAAAAGAGCTGTAATCGTCTTGTCCCTGCGCTCTTCCCTCCCTCTTCTCCGTTTATTATTTCTAGGGCCGTCTCAAATTTTTAAGCATTGTTCATTTTATAAACTTTATCAGTTATATAATAAAATTTATTACCATTAATTTTTTAAGAATATAAAAATTATATATTTGTATAATAAAAATGACACTAATAAAATTATTTAATGGTTTTAAAAAAGTATTAATTTATATAAAAAATTATTTAATGATAATAATAATATTTTTCAAATGAATCAATAAATTTAGATTTTATATTATAAAATAAATCTTTTAATTTATTATTGATATATTTTGAAAATTACAAAATTAATTTAAAGATTCAATCTAAAGTTGAATTTGAATTAACAATAAGTTAATGATAAAAATAAGTTTTCAAGTGTTAATTAATTTTTATAATTTTATATTTATTTATTTCTTTAATAATAATATATAATATAGTAATTATCATATCTAAAATATTTCATTGAAGTAATATTTTTCGAAAGAAACATATGTGAAAGAAAGGATATTTTCCTAAATTTAGATCTATCTTATTCTTTTTTATAATTACGTACAATTGATAACAATTAATTTTTAAAAAATAGGACCCCAAAATTTATATAATCTCTTTCATTGCACAAATCATCTGTAGATTTCTACTAATTATAAGAGCTTGTAATGCATTAGGTGAATGGTATGCATAGTATATTTAGTTTAAAACTTAGTATTGTTGTTTTTTGTTATAACGATACATAAATCGTAGGTTGCTGAAAGTGTGGAAACCATATACGGTCGTGTCTTTTGGGTATATTTCCTCTATTGTTTCTATATCTTCGTATAGTATAAATTAGTGAAAAAGGAGGCCTATACGAGTATATATATATATATATATATATATATGGGGCCACGACAAGAATTTATGTGGCCAAAAGTCGGCCAATTTAGCCACACAGAGCTCCTTAGGAAGTTCACATGACGTTACGTTCTTTTTTTTCGGTTACAAATTAAATGCGATGTGCACTCATGTATATACGTAATACGTATGCATGTGTGTTTATATATTTTTTTTTTGATAAAAAATGTGATTGAATTACTCCCAAAAGAACCGTGTACAAAAATAGTTCGAATACATCAGTCAATATACCAAAAGAATAACAGGAATCCCATGCGCAAACGGGCAAAAGGTTTTATCTGGAGCTAGCTAATTTGATACCAATGTTGAAGGATTTCATTCATGCCTGTAACCTCCGGACGGTGCAAGGAGAAAAGAATATTTCTCATGGATCTGTCGATCTTGAACTGTAGTTGATGTACCGAATGCCAAATGTTTTGGTGAACTCGTCCATTACGCTCCCTCCATATCTCGTAAGCTACTAGTTGGATAAGCACCTTCCTCAGAAGTCGTAGGTACTTGAATTGTGAATTCCCAACCTGTTGAATCCAACGGTGGGCTTGTTGTATGGCTGTAGGAGGATTCCTTCCAAGCTTCCCTGCAAAGTAAGTCCACAGTGCAGCACTAAACTCGCAGAAAAAAAAGAGATGATTATGTGACTCTGCATTTTTGCAGCACAACACACATCTGTTGGGCGCCTGAATTCCCCACTGCGATAGTCGGTCAGTAGTAGGCAGACGTTGTTGCAGAATCTGCCAAAGAGTGAATGCATGCCTTGGTATCGCTTGTCTGAACCAAACAAGTTCGTGCCACGGACGGTGTTTATATATGTGTGTGACACTTTAAATTTACATCGAAAATAGAAGAAGCATTCGTCAAATCAACCACTATAGTATGAAAAACTAATTGGAATCTGTTTCATCGAAAGACGAAAACCTTAAGATCCATAAATCCATGGATCGTTAAGAGTAAGCAAAGGTCAGAGACATCCGAAGATTGGGTTCTTCGAGGGTCCCACATCGACATAAGCTCTGAAAATCTTGGGATGATGACGATTTTAAATTGGGCCCACTTCGTATTTTCGGGAAAAAGTTAAATATTTTTAAAGTAAATTGGTGCAGAATCCGAAGAATCGGCCCACGCTTTGTATAGTTTGCATTTACTTTATAATTATCCAAAGAGGGTTACGAGAAAATAATAATAATTTCAATAAACATCATTTCACTTGAAAACCGACATGATTATTTTACAAAAAAAATAAAAGAGAAAAACGCGAACAGAGTTTTCTAATTCCTTCAAATAAAAGATGAATAGTTTATTTGTTTTTTTACAATTAATGTATTGGTTCTTTGTTTTTATATAATTAAATATCAACGAACCACCATTCCGTATTTGGATTCTCTTGATATGCATGCGGAAATATATAATTTTCAATTGGTTACATGATCATTTTTATATAAAGTTTTGGGTGAATCACTTATTTCATATGTAACATAAATATTATTGTGTTGTATACAGATTAGTTGATATATAAGCATAAAAGTCGATCGTAAGTTCATTTTTCATCTTCTTTTAATCAACGGTAAACTTTTACACCTTCAAAAAAGTTATGGTGCGAGAAGAAGAGGAAGGATGTCACGATTTTCTTTTCATGACATATGTGTAAAAAATAAATACCGATGAAAGATAGACGATGTCCCTTGAAACGGAGAGTGGGGTTTCTGATATATATGGGCCCAAGCCCAAAAGTGGACCATGACAGGGGATGTGCGCAGTGAGATGCATGCACGAAATTGAAGAATGGATTCCCAATTAGCCCAAATGTGGAACACGTGTCACCACCAGCACTGTCTGCTTGGAATTTTTCGATTTTGTGAAATTTTTTCAATTTTGAGCATCCGTGTATCATGCGGATTAATTACATATATATATATATATATATATATATATATATATATGTTGAGATATACCGGATCTTGAAGAATATTACGAGATATATCGTATAATGGAGATCTTATCAAATCCGGAAAATATATATTTAAGAATATTTATTATTATGTTTACTTTACTTATTCAAATGTAAGACTCTCATCTATTTATATGTTATTTTGACTATCAATAAAAATATCATTCCGCAAATTTCTACATGGTATCAGAGCTTCTGGTTCTTTTCTAATTTGTTATTCTTTTTATAAAAATGATGATCGATAATGAGAGTGAAGATGAAGATGATGATATACTGATCCAGTGGTAATATCATTTCGAGTTTTTTTTATTAAGAATAAGAGAGTCATTTTATTTTTATTTTTTTTTATTCTCTCATAATCCCACATGTTTCTAAAGATTATTCGCATAACCGCCAATCATCTTATTCTTGCCAAAAACTTTGTTGTCATTAAACGCTTTCGCGTAGTTGCCTTTCAATCTCGGATGAATAAGAGTTATTCCCGAGACTTCTTTCTGCACCGCGATTGTCGTCCCTTTTTTTTTTGTTATCATCAAACGATTCTTTTGTATGTGGTGCCAAAGTTGCAGCGCAGTCGTTTGTTTGATTTTTTTTTAGTTATGATTGACACAAGTTCGCAAGGTGATGGAATGCCCTTAGAAAGTTTTTGGAAGATGGGATGCCCTTAGAAAGTACACATGCATGTTGTAGCGCCTGTGAATATATATGAATATGAGCTGATTCATGAATTTATTTAGTTATAATCTTGTCATTATCCATTTTTTTTTTTAATTTTGATCCGGTCTTTGTAAAGATCTGTTCTTTCAAAACGTGGTTAGTGGTTCCTTTATTTTAGCTTTGTTGGTAGAAATACATTGTTGTATTTTAGATGAACTTCAGATGAAATAAAATTGAAGTCTTATTCAATAGAGACTATTTTTAGGTAGAAAAAAAAAACCCATTGTGTTTTTCGGCCAAACTCCGCCTTTGAATGGGATGACTTTTATTTTAGGTTTTCGGTTTTCTAGTTTTTGGATTTTATAATATAATGTAGTTATTGGTTTTTAATTGATATTTTTACCAAAATGGTTTTTTAAATTTTTAGGAAAAGTAATTTTATAAAAACTTGAATGGTAGATTTTTTTTTGTTTTTGAATTCTAAAAACTCCAACAATTTAAAACTTCAGTTTCGTTTTCTACATAATTAAGTTTTACGTGCAATAATCGCTGTGTAAATAAGCGATACTTAACATATATGAAAAATCACATTTCACAAAAAAAAAAAAGTTTTACGTCCAATAAATAATCTCTGCCATACGTATCTTTCTTTGAATATGGATTAATAACGACCGAACCAATTTATCTAATGTAGAAACTATTATATTCAAGTTATAGCTCAAGCTGATTCACAATTACATGTGAAATTAATATGTTTTCCGCGCGTAAACTAATTACAGAAACTTGCGTATGATCATACATAGTTTTAAATAATATGATGGGAAACAGTAAAGCTTGCAACAATTTTTAATCATTAAATAACAGAGTTAAATGGACATTATAACAATATTAGAAAACATCGCATTAAACACAGCTTAATATAGAGCCATGTCTGGACCCCTCGCGTACAATTAAAATGCCTACAACGATACATACATACATATATATATATATATATATATATATATATATATGATTTGGCCTACGGCGACCAAAACCCTAACTATATATATATATATATATAGACGAACAGATAGAAAATAAGTTGACAATTTTAGGAGAGAATCGATGATTTATATATAAGATTAATTAAAAATTGAGTAAGCTCCTAATGATTGCTGCCTCGGGACTGTTGTGGTCCGTCGAGGCCAAGAGTTCGGACAGACGGTCGCCGAGGTCATCAACTTCTCTGTGCAAGTTCTTGATGTAGTTGCATGTCTCTTGCAGCACCTTGGAAGCGGAAACCTGCCCATCCATCCATTATAATTATTATTTTTTAATGTTATAGTAATGATCATTCAATATAATATATAAATAAGATTTCTGGACCAAAATAATCTATATATAAAGGTTGATCCCGGATCTAGGGAGGATGTAGTCGGGCGGAAGGCCCAGTTCAATATTCTCTCATGTGTAGAGATTCTTGTACCGAACTGATACAACGGGAAATATCGACCGTATAAGGTCACAAAGTTCAAGTCCCCCGAGGTCATATATCACTTTGGATTTCATGTATGAGTTGGGTCATGTGTTCGGATACCATCTCTATACATTTCAAGATTTGTTTTTACATCATAAAACAATCACGTGCTGGTCAGTACTCTCTCTCTCTCTCTCTCTCTCTCTCTCTCTCTCTCTCTCTCTCGTATCACATTATTCGGTTGCTATTTAATATTGTTTTCCTCAGTTATGGCATACGTATATGAGTCATCACAAGACATGGTTTAATGTACGTCGAAGTAGGAAGGGAACAAATGGAGTCCCACACCACCAACTCGTGAATTGAATGCAACTTGAGTATATAATCGAAAGTACAATATATATATATATATATATATGCATATTATTATTTATAAGGCTGTGAATTAACGTTACTTTATCTATATATGAAAGTTAAAGCAAGGCCACAATTCACACGCTAAAGCGATTCACCATGCACATACATTGTGAGAAATGCATGACACTCTCTCTTGCCACGCGCAGGCATATATATATATAAGCATACAGACATGAACACAGAAACAACATAACAGGAACACGCATTTATATACTTATTAATACGTTTACATATAGTGCTATTCTCATGCAAAGGAAATAAATATATAAAACATAATGTTCTTGTGAATTTTGTTATATATATATATAATATGGTACCTTGTCAGAGCGCCTGCGGCGAAGTTCAGGAATGAGGAGTTGGAGCTTAGAAACAAGATCAGCAATTTGGTCCTCAGAGATTCTGGAGTTCACAGACGACTGCCTTGACGGACGTGATCTTCTGCTTGACATCTTTCAGTTATATATTAATTAGGTCTCGTTGTAGGTCGACCTCTGACTGCTCCGCCACTGATCAAATATATGGAAATGGAGGAAGGATGAGTATTTAATGTGTCAGAGAGAGAGAGAGAGAGAGATGGGAGAGATGGAAGGAGAGATCAGCTGAAGAGGGAAGAGGAGTATGGCTCTCATTTTATACTGCAAATCTATGGGGAGAGAGAGAGAGAAACAATACTCATGCAGAAGAAGAAGAAGAAGAAGAGACAAGGGCATGGAGGGAGGGTGTGGGTTATGTTTCTTTAATCAAAGGGGTCTGTGAGCTTTCAACAATTTATTATGTTGTTTTTTCGGTTGTATATCCATCCATAATGACACTACTGTTTATTTTGGGTACTGTTCTCAGCAACCTTTCTCCCGAAAGTAACGTTTGATTCTTGCAACATGCACCTCTATTGACATTCCATATGTGTGTATATATATATATACACATATATATTCTCGGTCTCTTCATTAAACTCACGAGTGTACCAACACATCTAAAACGGATATGATCTTCTTTCCAAGGTTTTTATTTGTTTTTCTTGTTGAATTCTCTAACGAAAGTGGTAAACAGAGTAAAAAATGGGTAATGAATTAGATACGGAGAGATACTATTACACGGTGGGATTTTGGGGGCGTGACTAATTAGGGAGGGGGGCCAAGGCCATACAGTGAGTGTGAGTGTCCCAAAGGATCAAATGGGTTCATCGCCAAACTGAACTGGACCCTCTTTGCCTTCTCCTTGTCAGTCTCACCATTGCTTGCCCATGTTATATGTGTTACTTCTTTGTCCCTTTTTTTATTTAAAAAAAATAATCACTTTGATTTCTTTTATTTATTTCTATGCACACACACACATATGTATATATATATATATATATATATATCCGTGTATATGTAAAATATATTTAAATAAATACCATGGAACATATCTCACATGTTTTCGTTGACAGCTCTCAGCCCGTTATATATAGCCCCCCGGACTAACATTTGAGTACTATGTACTATAGGTGTCTTTCATAAATTATTCGTTATATATTAAAGCCATTATGTGAGGATAAAATGCATATATATATATATGATACATTTTAAAATTTTCTTTTTTCCCTAGTCATTATTATGATATGATAACCGACCAAAACTAAGTTATGGTCGCATAACGAGAACATTATAGTAAACAAAAAAATTAAAGGTACATATATCAAGGGATATGGGTTAAATAGGTAATTAAAAAGTTCGAGGAGCCGAGCATTGTTGACTGTCAAAAGACAAATAACGATAAAGACCAACCCATCCCCCGATGCCAACATCGGGTTAAAACGACAAGACATGTGTTGTCACGTAATCTCTGTTTTTTTTTTCTTCATGTTCATTAATTATTTAAGACGTACGTTCATATACACACACACATGATATATATATATATATATATATATATATATATATATTCATGCCAACCGAATTGCGTTTATTTATTTATTTATAGGATCGAAATGATCTCTAAGATGAGATCGTTTTGGAACGAATAGTGGCTCACGCCAACCGCATCGGTCCAAATCATAGATATGGAGGGAATTATATCTATGAAATTATACCTAATTGTTTCATCACATTCTCTCTGAAATTATCGATTCGAAAAATATAAAATAACCCCTAAAATAAATTCGTTTTGAAAGATGCGAAAATAAATACTGATTCATCACTATTCTCCGTATTTATGTATATATACACACATATACCTATATGTCAGATTCAAAAAAATAACACTAATTTGTCCGAAACCCAGAAGGCTAAATAATAAAGAAACATGGTGGCGGGATGCCTCATGTGATGTTCTGCCATTATTGCTGTCTTCTCCTCTTAGAAACCCTAATTTCCAGTCAAATTTTTTTTAGTAACCCCAAATGCTAAAAAAGAATATCGAAAAAAATCTTTATGTGAATCGGTGACTTGACTTTATTATAACATCACAAAATCCACGTGGTATGTCTCTCCTCTCGTGAACTAACTAAAACCCCGTTTCATTGCAACGCCTTCAATCGTGGAACTCACTACAGTGGCCACAATGTGCGTTTTCGTGTTAGATTCGATTTGCCCCTTGCATTGAAACACATATCTAATGTCCCATTCCTTTCATTTCTTCGCATTTCATTACAATTTTTCCAGTTTTCATGTGAAAACATGGTTACAAAATACTCAATAACCGCATGATTCCCTGTAATTGTATCACCGAAACATGTGTATTTTTTTTTTTGGGTAATCGGATATCTTGGGATGAGTCATAGATAAATTTCGAGACCGAAAACAAGTCATATGATTGAAATTACATTCTCTTTACCAGCATGAGACTCGAATTCGGAACGGGACAGACGTTTTTACATCCCAATTTCACCCGTTAAACTACCAAAATTAGGTGAAACATGTGTATTAGCTATTAAGCATACTCTTATTTAATTTGAAACCCTTTCCAAAGAGCCGAGGGGCTATTTGTGTATATATATACATATGTTTATGCGATGAGCAGTCCAAACGGTTCAAAGACGCTATAAGAACATGAAATATACTTCTAAAGCTGATATGAAGCATATGAGCCATGCAGGTATAACACTCATGGGGGAGAGAGAGAGAGACACATGTATTAAAATTTCCATGCAAACAAATATACTTTCCTGATTATATAAGTACAGTGGTCACCCACTTGTCATATAATTGTCACATCAATAATTAACACTGATGCAGTAAGAAACGCATAATTTTATCTACCGATACAAGTTCCACCATTTGTAAGTTACGAACTTTGTAGATGTGTGTGTGTATATATATATATATATATATATATATATAATATCTTCATAATATCCGTTCTGAGCGGTAATAAAACTCAAATACTTTCAAAATTGGAATTTTCGAAAAAAGATTACATGTTGAAGCAACAGAGTTTAGTCGGTTAAAAACAGAAGTAATGTTGGGTTTTCGGACAAAAAAAAAAGATTATTGAAAAAGCATTGAAGTGAATGATACCAAAAGGGGTAAAGAGACAACAAGAAACACAAGAGAAACAGAAATCATATAGTCAACGAAATGAAAGACTTTTGAGTTAATAATGAAAGACATGCCCTTGTTTCAGGGGAAGAACCAAGCACGTGTGTTGTTCTTAACGAGCTTTGAACAATACAAACGACTCAGAACTCGGGTCTGTGTCCGGAGAAATTGATGATGCCGACAACGAAACAACTATGTAATGGCTTAGAGCGGTCGCAATCTTTGTCTCTACCACTTCACTCTGCCTGAAATTCGTCGAAATGGGCATTAATTGGATCCGAAGATAGTTGCGATTCACATGGAATGGATCGATCACGGAGTGGAATAAGCATATGGGTCAGCAGCACAAGACAAAAAGATCTCATCTTTTTTGGCAGAAAGCTGGAAATCTGAAGAATTCATAGCATGCATAATGAGAATGATAATACCTGCATGTTTGGTTTAACGTTCCATGAGATTATACGGCCGAGTTCATCAAGGAAAGCACTTCATTCTCTGCGAACAAATACGAGGAAAGTGTTACGTTTCTTTTTTATCGAAAGAGACTTTGGCATTAACCCGTGATCTAGAAATCAATGTCACCTGTCTTTCGATCTCAACAAAAGACGCTTCGAGCCTTCTTTTCAAGACCGATCTATCCTCTTCACAGCTCTCCGTTTCAGTGTCTAGAAACAAGATTAGAGCAAAACCTGAGTGAATACACGTAAAGCGACTTGCATATCTGCTTAGAGTAATAAGATCTATCAATAGTTACTTCATTCTGTTCTCCCACATCTATGGTAAGAAAATGACTTATCGTTGACAATCACGGGACAAACTGATGTAATGGTAAACAAACACGATCAATAAATACATCATGAACAAGTTTTTACCGTAATAGTATGTTGATAAAATCGTGATCCGCTCGGTTGGCTGAGAAAGAAGGAAAAACATAAGCAAGGAATTAAATACCAAACACAATAATTCCGAGACAAACAATAGGTTTATGGACAATGTACCATCACGAAGATCCCTTCACGACGAGTCGGGACTTCCTCAAGTTTCCTCAATGTTTCATCCCCTTTTGTAACTTTGCCAAACACTGCATACTGAGGAGACCATTGGTTTTATAAGTGCTTGACGTCATAAAGGGCCAAGTAACTTACAAGCTCGTGTGAACTGATGTAACTAGGTGACCTGGCCATCAAGATGAGGGGCATCACCAAGAAGCATCGAAAAAGAAGATTGCGCACTGTCCGGATCAGAATATCTATGCAGAAAAAAGCAAAGCATGGTGGAATCAGCATATGTATGAATATAATTAACCACGACGAGAAAAAGGGATATAATTTACACGGGACGAGTTAAATTTTGGTGAAGAATCAGTTTGTGCATGGCTACCAGCGCAAATAACTACAGGAAATCAAGCAAAAACATGGCAATTCTTAAGCTTTTTTACAAGAACATCCGCAGGGGAAGACGGAGAAAAACTTGAAAAGAATAAGCGCGAATGGACTGAAGATTATACCTTCCCATGGAAAGAATACCCCTCACATGCTTAACATCACTGAACTCACCAACGATTGTCTTCTCGGCCACTTTCCTTTGCTCCTCATTCATTGGGGCCAACCTTCCAGTCGCTACATCCGCCACTTGAGCAACAAAACCCTTATCCACCTGCAAAACCACTCATAAACCTCATCCTCCATTGTGTTTGATCTCTCTTCCGCATCAACAAAACTACAAAAATTCAACCTAACTTTGAGTTTCGTACCCTGAAGAAGTGGTTAGTGTTATATCCACCAAGACGAACAAGCTTGAAAATGTGCTCAACTGTCTTGGGCGCAACGGTAGGGAAGAATCCGAATTCGATATCACCATAACTAGTCTGCACACCACAATTCATCGATAAGGAACAAGAATTGGCTTCAACTTATATAATACAAGCCCGAACATTGGGACTTTCCATGCGATGAAATCCAATTTGAGATTTGATCGCAAGTCTTTCAAACCCCAAACAAAGCTGCCCATTTTCAAAAATCAGCAGTCGAGGAACTCATAAGACAGGAAACCCAGAAAAAAATCTCATTCCTATGGAAATTAGAGCCGAAATTGGTAACCTGGAATACGACACGAGCCGAACCAAGTTCTGGTTCCTGAGACAGAGCATTTGCAACGGAGACAAGGAATAAAGAGACCAAATTCAAAATCATGTTACTCCTGCTTCCCATTTCTTCTAATTTTTGGCGCCAGATCTTAAGCAAAATCTTCAGTCAACGCCGGCAGAGAAATTTCTGCTCGTCGGACCTCTCCGTCAAGGCGATGATCTCCGGCCCCTCTGACTCCTGCCGAGAGAGGGTTTCAGTTTCTTCGTTTTTTCTTTTAAAAAAAAGAGAAAAAAAACTTATGTGGGCCGCATATAAGGCCCAATATGCAATGGGCTTTTGATGAGTGAAAATAAGCCCATGATGATCATGGCATCAAGTGAACAAGTTAGTGTTGGTGGCCCATTTATATAATTTAATTTAATAAAATATAATATAACCTTTTTTTGTGGTACTAAAATAAAATAAACTCGAAACAAATCGTTTTTGTTGATTCCCCGGCCTTTTATGCACTAAATGCAACACGAAAAAAGTATACGAAAATTAGGTCAAAGGGTGTGGATTCCTTCACTTATATATATATATATATAAGTAATATTGTCTGTGCATAATGAATATTTGTATATTGTGCACGCTTTAAATTTGAACCCATCAATCATTTTGGTGACTGACATAAATCACACATGCAATATCGGATTATGCCCTTCCTTTTCTCTTACTTTGGGTAATGTCGGAATATATGCCTTCTATTCTGTGATAGCGAATTTTACCGAATTTCATTTAAAAAATATGTTAATTTCAAATATCAAAATAAAGTGAATAATCTTGAAATCTAAGACTGTAGTATGTGCGCGTGTGTCTACATAATACATATATGTTATATCATTCTCTGTCCTTCAACTTTTTAGGGTTATTTCAAATATGTCTTTTTTTGTCCGAATCTCCATCCGAACCCATCAAAAAAAGATCAAATTTCAAGTTTACATTTTTCAGTCCGAAAAAACCGGGTTTTCGAGCCCAACTCAAATCGGGCTTTAGTTTAAAAAACTATTTACAATGAAGGAAATGAATAGACCGGTCCGGCCGAGTCCGAATCCGAATTCTATATGATCGGATTTCGGGTTTGGTTATAAAGTCCAAAAAAATCAGATCGATCAGAATCTGAATCCGAAATCTTCGGATTGGTTAAGGACTCGGGGTGAACCAGACCGGCCCGTTGACATCCCTAGGTTATTTGCATGGAGATACTGTTGTAGCGTAAGAATTGAGAAAATAAGATATCCAGTTTTGCTTGTCAAATTTCTGCATCTATAACAACGATGATAAATCTATCATAAAATAATTTGGACGAACACTTGAATTTGGTTGTTAAAAAATGACAATGAAAAAATAATTCGTGAAGTCCATAGGGTTTATATAATTCAATGTCGAACGATTAACTGCTGCATGTCTTGACGAACATCATCGTTATCGTGGGCAATTATATATATATATATA